GGTGTGTGTGCAGGGTCCCCCCGTGGCACCTCGGTGGGGTGCGGTTTGAGAGACAGGCAACAGGAGAAGGTGCCGGAAGAGTCTGGTGACGTGTTAGTGGTGGAAGAGCCGCGGTCACTGGCGTGAGCCCGGGCGGGAGGTGACAGGGAGGCACAGCCCGGCCCTGGGACTGTGGCAAGGCCACCAGGGTCGCCGAGGAGTTGGGGTTGGGGCAAGAAGTGGCCAAGTTTTAACTCAGGCCCTGGCGTGGGTTCCCCCTCTGGCCCTGGGGAAGTTGCTCGACGCCTCTCGCCCATCTCCACCAGGGAACGTGTCGGCTGCTGAAATCTGCTGCCCACAGCAGCTGTCGCCAAGCGGTGGCCGTGTGCGCACTGCCCTGATCCGTGCTTGTGCTGGGATCTTTTCGGGGACATTGAGCTGTGCTTGTTGCTGGCAGCAACTCTCCTGCTGAGCACCAGGATCATGAGCCGGTTTTTCAAGGGAAATTTCGAATTGGGGTTGAGCTGAGCTGTGGGCCTGCCACATACTGTCATTTCATTCTCTAGGCTGTCATATTTTATAGGGGGAGCATCTGTTGTATTTCCAGGTATTTGATTCATGTTTCACTTCATTCAGAGGCAGCAGTGGACCGTAGAGCCACTCTGCACTCGGTTAGTTTTGTTTAACTGAGGCAAACGCCTGCAGAACTGCTCGCTTTCCAGGCCCTCACACTACCCATGAAGAAGGATGGATCCCAAAGTGCTCAAGTGCTGACCCTCTGAAAGGGAGATCCCTGTACCCAGCTCCAGCCTAGCTGGTGGTCTGGTTCCTTTTCTCACCCTCTCAGCCAAGACCAGAGCAGGGTTAAACTGGTGGGGCCTTGAACGGAGCTGAGGGATGGATGAGGAGTCAGTTCCAGGGGTTCTTTGGCTCTGTGGTGCTGAGAGTACATACAAGACTTCCAGCCTCGGCTCAGCACGCTGTGCACAGAGAATTAGTGTTGCTGTCTCCTGATCCCTGTGTCTGCTTGGGCCAATAGCTCTTGCCTGTGTTTCTTGGGCATTGTATGTCTTCAGGCACCAGTTGCACCAGCTGACTCCTTCCCCAGTAACCTTGCGCTGTGAAGTCTTTTCTTCCTCTGTTCATCCTATGCAGTTTTGCAAGGGCAGGGAGAGGTGGTAAGCATTTGCAAGCTGTTCCTGGCCAGGAGAGTTCACCTTCCCCAACAGAAAGGTCCCGGGACCTGTGCTCTCTTTCTTTCTGATACCTTCTCAGCTATAGCCTCGGCAGTGTTGGTGTTTCTAGTCTTGAATTTAGTTGCCATTGCATCTCCTTGATAGATTGGGCATCTTCTGAGCAGCTCCCTATGTCACAAAACGGCTTTTCACTCTTCTGCTGTAACTGTTTCCACTACCGTTCTGTAGCAGCTACAGCTTTACCCTGCCAGCAGGACAAATCCCCGGTGCCTCTGCATGCTGCCCACGTTACACCGTTTCCAGTCTTTGGTTTTCTTGCCTTGTCCTTTTGAAATGTTTTATCACTAAGGTGAAAGAATAGTATTTCCCAGTATTGGATACAATTCTCTATTGCCTTGCTGAAAGGTGTCGAGTGTTAATATTGTTTTTGGGTAAAAATCAGGCTGCTGGCGTAGAACTATATGAGTGAAACTTTGAGCACTGCTGTAATGGTTTGGAAACGGTCTTTTTTGTCAAGTGGAGAAGATACAAACTGCTGCAGGACTGAAGGAAGAAAGAGAGTAAGGGAAACACGAACATGCGAGCACCTTCACAGAGGGGATGGGGCCAGGCTGTACTGTAGTAATTTTATATTAATGTGTGTTGTTAGCATTGTAACGATCTGGCTGACTTCTTTAAGAACAAGAAATCTGTCCATCCATGTTAAACAAAACTTTACTGGAGCTGGAAGTTTTTGTGTCTTGTGGCTGATTGACTGAAACTCTGCCCTACGCTGGTGTGTTCTAGAAGAGCTTTCTGGTATGTATTTTGTTTGGTGTCTAGCAAGATACAAGCCTCGTATTTTATGTCTTCTGCCTGGTTGCCTTTTTCTCATAGGACTTGTAGGATCTCAGTTATTTCTGTGTTGAGCTGCCAGATTTGAGTGTGCTTGGCTGATTTCAGCTGAAGGCGGTGAGGTGTACAGCATCAGCTCGCTTCCGTCAGAAATACAGATTAGTACCAGTTCTTAAGCCTCGCTGCATTGGAGTCGTCTCACTCGGTGCGTCTTGTGCACGTGGACCTGTGGTCCACAGAGGTTGCAAGCAAATTGCAGTTTTGCTATGCTGTACAAACACAGTTCCCAAATATATCCTTACTCGGATATTGCCCAGCTGCATACCACTTGGACAGCATCAATAAGCACAGGTTTTGATATCTTAGACTGTCAGAGAAGCGCATTACTGATGAGGCAGGTAAGAAAAAATGCCTTGTTTCCTGACAGCTTCCTTTTGAGATTTACAACTTGGCTGGGAAGTCTGCTGACCTTAAACTGTGTTAACATTTCTAATGAAGGTGCCGGTGTCAAAGCTTGGTAAAGTGGCACTTAGGCAAAGGTATGTGTACAGTGGCCTCTCAGAAAGCCAGCTCTTGCTGTGTGGAGTTTTCCAAGCATGGACTGCAATGGGTGTGGAATAAGCCAGTTCCCTGTGAGACATGTTCTGGATCAAATGTGTGGGTCCCCTGGTCTGAAACCAAACTTCCCCTGGCAATATGAAATCCTGAGCTGAGCACCGCTGAGAATAGTTCTTTTGTTCTTGGAATTCAGCCCTGAAGGCAACAAGTAACTAAAGAGCAAAAAGAGCTGTTGAAGATGTTCCAGTAGGGTGTAGCTCAAAAACGATTGGGAGGCTTTAAGGATAGCCTAACGAGTTTTCCCTTGGTTCTTACTCTCACAGTGGGATTTTGTAGGCTGCAAAACAACCTCTCTAGGAAGGTAATCAGCTGACAGAGATGCTGGGTTTTTAATATCACCCCATTTTACTCTTTTTCTACCCAGTACAACATCCACCCTTCTTCCCCTCCCTTCCTGCCCCCTCCCAAGCAGGGTCTTCGTGCACACTGGTCCAAGCCCCTGCATTACCGATACCCGAAGGATTTTGGCCTTGCCAGTGGGATCCCAGCCGGTGAGCTCTGGCAGCCCTTGCTGCAGTGGTGTGAGGAGAGGCAGCAGAGGTGGGCTGTGTCGTGTGTCGTGTCCCCCCCCCTCCTTTTTTTTCCCTTCCCCTTGCATTGAGGCAGGTGGTGGACTATGGTATCTGCCCCCGACACTGTGAATCCCTGGGGAGCCTCTGCATTACCGTGAGCCTGGAGTTGCAGGGACAGAGGGCTTGCAGACCCGGTGAGCTGTGGATACAGCACAGCCAGAACTATTGCATCCCCCTGAGCATCCCCACTCAGGAGCGCTCCAACCCGCCGTTAATCTTGGTATCAGTGTTTCACTCTTCCAAAACCTTCAGTCATGGCAATGAATTCCTAAAGAGAATGGAGATGGGGCAGTGGTTTCTGGTGAACAGAAACCATCCGGTGGTTCTGCTTAAGTTAGATGAATCCTTTTCTATGTGTCAAGGAGTCTTTTCTCTCAGAAAGTAATAGCACTCTTCAAATAGGGTAAAAGGAAAAGGAAAGAAACCTCTAAACCTTTTTTGATCCTTGCATGGTGGAAGTGGAGGTGATTGGAATAGCTTAGGCCAACAGTGCTAATTTGAGCATGAGCACAGTGCTTTAAAGAGCAGATCTTCTGGATCAGGGACAGCCCTTTGTATAGCATATAGCACAGCAGTGCTGAACAAAGCCTGGGCTGTATAGGGGCCATAATAATGGGAATGCTGACGAGGCTGGTCTGTGGCTATAGCTGAGCTGTGGGAAATAACGTGAGGGGCAGCAGAGCTGTCAGATGTGTGCTGCCCTGTACTGTAACTAAGAAGTCGGTAGACATCTCAGTGAAGTGATGTCCCAAACCACCTGGGTGGCAGAGGTACAAGTACGTCCCCTTCACCTGCGGCCCCTCATCGGGTGCAAGTGGGAGAGGGCTCCTCTTCCCTCCCTGGCCTGCAGAGCAGCCGTACATGTTGGCATGGCCTCGCTTGGCAGTGTGTGTGTGGAGGAAAACAACATTTTCATTGGTGTATGGCAAAGAGAGACAAAAAGAGTGGGGTGAGAGGCAGTGGTTGTGGAAGGGATCAGTTGCCTTTTTAGCATGGACTGTAGCTGAATGGAGAGAGACTGACAGCGGAGGCTCTGCAGGGGAGATATGGCTTCCCTCTTACATCTTTAAGAGTATCTAGAAATCTTCCTTCCCTCAGTGTCTAGTCTGCAGGACTTCAGAAAGGTCTTTTAATATTTTTTTTGCCTCCTCCTCTCAACAAGTGCTGCAATTCTCAACACCAGCTTCTGAGAGTTGCAGGCTTCTGAGTACTTTCTTCCACTTGCTGGGCAACAGAATTGTGTGTGTGTCTGTTCCCGATGCTTTAAGCCAAAGATAAGTTGCAGTCCTCTGAAGAAAGCATTAATATTTGAGTGCATTTTAAGATTCTCAGATGGGCCCTTGTGGGCAAAGAGGCGATAACTTCATTACAGTTGTTCACCTTCTCAGGAACTTGATCTGGAGCAAGACAGAAGCTGTCTGCCACTTGGATCTTTCTAACAAGCTCTCGCGCAGTGCAGGATTTTCTTCCGTTCTAATCACAGTCTCTGGTTCAGTATTACAAGTCTGAACACTTTCTTCCTTGTCTCTACAGCTGCTGAAGAGTCTGAAGAGGCTGTCTGAGTTGCCCATCACAGTTGACGTTCTTGTGGTAAGAGCTGGCAAATCTCTCCCATTTCCCTCATGTCTGTCAAGTCACAGGATAACTGTTTGCCACGGCAATGCTGCTTTTCTGGGAACAGGGCTTGTTGCCTCAGCCACCTGCTACAGTCTGGTGTCAAAGGCGCGATTCTGATGTGGTTGTAGAGATAAAAGGCACGGGGAAGGCACTGTGTTAGAGCGAGTGTGGAGCTCTGTAGGACAGTTTGTCATCCTCCGTTCTCCCAGAAGCTTAACACTTGACTGGGATCCGAGGGTTGGAGCACTTCCTGAGGATCACCGCATCAGCACGCAATTGGGAAGTGCTGATCCGGACAATTATTAGTGACTTCTTCTATCTGCAGACTTACCCACAGTCATGGTAAATGCTAACTTGGGTTATCACTACAAATAATTAATGTTTGTTAAGGCAGAGTTAAGTGGTCTTGGATTTACAGAGCTGTAGGAAAGGGTATGATGGCCCCATAAAACATCATCTATTATTTGGGGTGTCTTTGCCGCTAGATGAAGGGGGTTTACTTCTACCTGGCCGGGATGGGTAGCGGGTAACTTCAGGCACTCTGGAGGAAGTTGAGCAGAGGGGAGAATGCCATGCCGAGTGTTTTGCCGAGATGAACTCATGTCCTGGTTCTCTCCTGAAGGAGACGGGTGTTGGGAAGACTGTGAACAGTTTACGGAAACACGAGCTGGTAGGAGACTTCGCAAAGAATCTTGTAGCCAGGTGGAAGAAGCTGGTGCCAGTGTCCCAAGATGCAGCCAGGTAAGTGAACCTCTTTGGTGATCTTGGTGGATCGGCTTTGTTAGGTTTTTGCAGTGGGGATGATAAACCTCTCTGACCAAGGTAATACAAGTGAAGGTTCTGGGAAAACTTGTGGGACACGTGTGCTAACTCTGCAGGGGTTTTTTTGCCATCCTTTGGTAGAAACCTCCTGCATCCGCTGGCCATGGAGCATTGGGCTGCTGGTAGCCACAGGTTTGGGTGAAAGTTGGGACCAGTTTTCCAGACTTGGTGGTTTGATGAAGCGATTCACAGCAGAGGCCAGCAAAGTGCCCTTAGTACAGCAAGAGATGCAATTTGTTGTGTCCTGTGTTATGATGGGTGCCGAAGCCCCAGTTATTGATGATATTGATGATGGCTGTGGTGTCCCTCCAGGCCGAACTGGCGACCTGGGGGACGTGTTTCCCGTAGGCACCACGCAGCCAGCAGTGTGTAGGCACGGAGACGGCTCTGTGCACATCTGTCTCTGCTTCCCAGGGAACTCTCACGCCTCTCGTCCTAACACAAATGCCAAATGAATTCCTGCACTAGAGGTGCACTTTCGAAATCCCTCAATGGACTGTGCCTGAGAGCATTAGTGGTGGTCTTGCCACAAAACTACCAACTACAACCTTAGTCTGCTGTAAGACAGGTTTCCCTCCAGGTGGTCCGTGGGGAGGGGCTCTTTTAATTCATATTGCGACACTTTAGTCTATTTTCTTTTTTTGTTTTTAATCCTTTCAGAAATAACCTAGATTCTGAAGAACGTGACTATGAGAGGAGCAGCTCAAGTAAAAGACATCAAGAACCTTCCCTCCGAGAAGATGAGGAACCTGACCAGGAGTATTCAGAAGCCTTCCAGCCATCTTGCAGCCAGTCCTATAGCCCAGCTCATAGGGAAAAGAAGTCCAAAAGGTATCCTAAGCCTGAGAGAGCCCATGAGACTTACAGCTATAACAGCCAGGAGGGGAAGGGTTGGGACAGATCTTCCCCATTGCTCTCCTCAGATCAGGAGTACTCGGACTACGGACAAGCTGTGTCTCCTGAGCCAAGTGAGAGCCCTCAGGATGTGTACACAGACCCTTATGCGTCTGAGGAGCAGGAAGAACCGACAGTATTTCGTCGGAAAGCCAGTAAAGGCCACAGCTTTCAGGAGAAGCTGGGGGCAAGCCGGGAGAGGAACCCTGGTGAGTTCTATGACAAAGGGAACGTGAGTCGAAGCAAAGAGCACAAGTCTTCTCACAAGAAGCAGCGACTTGATGGCAGAGCGGAGGACAGGACCTCTGCCTTCAGCCCAGAAAGATTGCAGAAGACCTCTTTTAAAGAGCAGCTCCGAGAAGCCCCCATGGCAGGAGGCAGCAAGGAGAAACAGAGGATGTCAGATGGCACCAAGAAGGAGAAGAGCCGAGAAAGTGGTACCTCCAAAAAGGAGAAGTTGCACACGTTGCCGCACTTGGAAGAGTCTTTGGATAACCATGTTAAGAAGCAAAAACATCGGGACTCTGAAAGAAGCAAATTGGAAAAGGCCAAGCTGAGCCTGGAGACCTCTACCACAGAGCGGGAGAAACGGAAGGCTGAGAGTGACTCGTCAAATAGGATTAAAGAAAAGGGGATTTCTGGGAGCTTAAAATCTTCAGAGGGGAAGCGCAAATCCTCTGAGGTGGACAAAAAATCGATGGGCTTTTCCTCCAATTTTGGGGAGGGGGAAGCAGAGGATGAATTTGAACAACCTACAATGTCCTTTGAGTCATACCTCAGCTATGACCAGCCCCAGAAAAAGAAAAAGAAAGCAGTCAAACCCTCTGTGTCAGCTGGTGACAAAGACCAAGGGCACAGCAAACAGAATGGATCCAAAGCCAGTACCAACAGCTCAAGCTCGAGTCAGAAAAGTCCAAGCCACAAGCGGACAAGTGAGAAAAGGGCAGAGAAGGAACCACCAGAGACTCCTAAACCAAAGAGGGTAAGGTTTTGAAGGATCTGCAAGTGAACCAAGAAGGTGGGATCAGCTGCTCTCGGTCCTCTGTCACCTGGGCCGCCTTAGTTTTCCCCTTGGAGGTGCTGGCTGTGTTCTGCATCAGGCTGTGCTTGTGGTGTCTCATTGGTATCTAGATCTGTGACTCCTGGTTTCTGCTGGGAGACACCGTGTGTTCCATGTGCCCTGCGCTGCAGGCATCGCTTTGTGCTGGTCGAGTGGAAGTCTGATGGAAGAGTGGGTAAAGGGGGAGGGTGGAAAAAAATGCAATAGGCCATACCCTCTTTATTGAAACTGGGGAGAGTGAAAGAGAACACCTTCAGCTAAATACTCGTATGAAAGCATGTTGGATGTGCCACGCTTGTTAAGCATGCAGAATATCTTTACATGTGAGTCTGCTTAGAATCTGGCCTAATAGGCAGTGCATCTCCACCTGCTAGCAAGTGTCTAGTTCCCATGTCTCCTCTCAAGTATTAATGCTTCTCTAAAATGAACCTTTTTTTATGTATATCAGTGCTGCAGTTCTATTAACTAAATCTATTGGTCCCCACAAATGGGGGAGAAATGAGTGGACTGGTGTTATAATGCAGCTAATTCTAGAAGAAAGACCACCTTCGGTTAAAGATTGAAAAAAGAGCCATATTCCTGTACATATTGATTGCTACGTGCGTGTCAGGGTTTTGTATATAAATAGGGACTAATATATGGAACTTTGACTGCTGAATGTTTTTACTCAACTTTGAAACACTTTGCTCTTCAAAAAGTGGGTTTAGAATCTTCACAGCCTTTTACGATGCTGTGAAGGGGCCTCATATCATAGTTTTAGCTTTCCCCGACTTTGGGAGGTTCCCCTCTCCTCCACCACTGCAGAGTGTTTGGTCAGAGGCAGGGAGGAGGAGAAGAGGCAGAACGGGGAAGTGAGTGTTTGCAATGAGGAAATGTTTCTGGCAGCTTTCTCTCCTGTTTTTTTCACTAGTTCTTTGCATTGTTAATCTGACTTGGGCTCTTGCTGGAGGCCTTCAGCACGGAACCCTGGAGGGTAAAGATGTGGATGGCTCTGAGTGGAGGGAGCTGAGAGATTCCAAGCCTGATTTTTGGCTTCTTTATGTTGACAGCCAAGACAGAGCCACAGCGATGTGGCAGAGGGACGTTTGTGGCGTCAGAGGCCATTTCCTGGTGCCAGCTGATCCGCACTGAGCGGCTTATTTGAAATACCGAACAAAACACAGTTCAGCGCTGTTTGTACACTGGCTGCATGTAACATTCTCGTCTTACGTGCGTATACATTGTCTCCTTCCAGATACTTTTAGATGTGGTCCCAACATTACCAGACATCCCACTGCCACCGATCCAGGCCAACTACCGCCCTCTTCCTTCAATCGAGTCTATTACCTGCTCCCAGACAAAAAGGAAAGGTATGTTGCACAGGCAAATAGGCTCTAGCAGAAATGAGGAAGATGCTTTGCTGACCCTTCTGGACTCTTGGGCTTTGGACTTGCCCTTCCCAAACTAGGTTGCAGGTCTCATAGAGAAGGCCTGGCCCTTCGGGTTACTTCTGGGGGACTCTGATTAGTGTCTCCCTTGCTGTTCCTCAGGGTGGGCTCTTTGCTCTCTTCCCTTCTTACTCCAAGTCTTTCACTCTACAGCAGTGTCCTCGCCAGTTGAAGAGAGCGAAGCAGGTTTTACAGGCCGCCGGTTGAATTCAAAGATGCAAGTGTATTCAGGCTCTAAAACTGCCTACCTCCCAAAGATGATGTCTCTGTATCAGCAGTGTATCCGTGTCCTCAGTAACAACATTGACTGTAAGTACCTTTCCTCGTCTGCCTTAAAGCCACGCTGCCATGCAGATACACTGCTGTCTTGGTAACTCCTTTGGACCTATCCCAGCGGCATCGGGCTTGGAGCATGTGAGCAGGTGGTTGCCCCTTGTCGCAAGGCAAGCTAGCGACTATGGGACACCTCTCCCGCAAAGCTCAGGTGCTGCGGAATGGGCAGCCAGCACGATTTCGGGGAGCGCTCAAGCACTGGCCATAGTGGTACAGAACGCCTTGCGCCGGCCCTTCTCAACTTGGAGAGACTGGTGCCTGGTGACTCACTGCAGCTATTGCACCGACGGTTCCTTTCTCCTTCCCCTCGCACGGTGCAGTGGCGTGCAGCACTGCAGTTGTTTCCAGTGCAT